TGTCTGTTGCTGCACTAGCTCCTTCTACCAGTCCCCTCTGTGTGACTCAGTCTTGTGATGCCTCCCCTGCATTCATTCCTCCATCATTTTTGTTGTTTTTAGCAGAACAGCTAGTTCAGACACTCAGCTAAGCATATCACGAAAGATGGAAATTCTCATTTCTTTTCTTTTTCATCAAAAACTTATCGGGCACTGACTGTGTATGGATCAGTGCTATCATCGTGGTTTGTACAACATGGGCTAGTAGCATAAGAAATCAGTGGTGGTAGGACAGTAGAGACAACTAAATAAAGGTGATGGGAACTAGTGCATAAAAACACAGATTTAAGAGTCAGACAAGCCCAGGGGAAGATCAGCTTTACCATTTATTAGCTGTGAGAGCTGAGAAAAGGAAATCAACCTCGCATACTATAGTGAACACTTTTTTTTCTTCTTCTTTTCTAAAGATTTATTTATTGATGCACACTGGAACTGGGGTACAGGCCAGAGGTACAGGGGGTTGGAGATGAGAGGACTCACCAGAGACTGAGTGGGGAGCAGAAAAAGCAGATCTACTGAAATATAGTGAACACTTTTACTGATAAATTATTGTTGATGATAGTGCTAGGGTTCAGGTGATGGGCTTGGTGCCTGGGGTTCTTGGGTGCCTCTGAGAAAGAATTCAGCAGATATTCTCACTCATCATTGAGGAAAGGAGAACAGGAAGGAGGATGCCTACATAGACACAGGCACACAAAGAATAAGAGCTGTGTTTCTCCAGCACAAGGGGGCTGCCAGACCAGGCAGCATTATAAACACATTTTGCAATATCTTGATGCAGTTAATGTAGAAATCATCACCTCGGGGTCAAATTGGGTTGGTATTCTAAGGTCCATATTTCTCCCTGCCCCCACTCCTAGCTGATAATTTTTTTTTTTTTTAACTCCACCTTAGATTCCTGGAAACTTCCATAGGGAGGTTTAGTTTAAGATTCTTTAATCAGCCCTCCCCCCACCTCTGGTGTTTGTCCTTGTGAGACCTTCCATCCTAAAATTTTCTACTCTTAACTTTCCATCAACAGTAGCTAGCTTGCTCGCAGGATTGTCGTTTGAACTCGGCATAAGACCTGAGCATTTAGTGATGACTCAGAAAAACGCTAACTTGTTTTTATTTTTACAAAAGAGAAGCATATTCAGAGAACAACAAAGTTATTTCTCTAAGGTTTAGAGCCTCCCCTGGCAGCTGCCAACAAAGAACCACTCCACTTTAACCCCAGAGTTATTCTATCTGCATGAATCCTTCTCCACTTCAGGATTCCCTCAGAGAGACTCTCTTCTCCCAAGTTTTCTCCATCCTGATTTAAACCTGTTCCTTGATAACTTTAGATTTAAAAATTGACCATAGAAATCATGTCTTATAGGCAACTTTTGCTTTCCAGAATTTCCATGAAACCAGCAGGATACTTGGGTGCATTCTTATGTGGGGCAGGGAAGAGAGGAAACATGGAAATACAAGGAGAAAGAAGTTAGTAGTTTGAAAAATTATCCTGTTGCAGAAGGAATGGCTAGCATGTACAAGTGAGAAGAACCTAGACAGACAATTGGAGGGGGGGAAAAGGCACATGGATGCTACGCTAGGGAATTTGAGGTTTTTCCTCTAGGCAATGGATTGCCAACAACTTCTATGGGGAGATCTCCAATACAGTGTGAAAGGTGGGGGAGGCCAGCTCAAACATGCCTACAGTGAGCTGAAGAGCTGTGGCCAGGGCCTGCCTGACTGTCAGAAAGCAGAGGCCCTACTCTTCTGCAACTAAGAAGGACCCTGAAGGTGGTCAGCAGTTGTTTTGCAGAGAGCTTTAAATAAAGAGTACAAGTGGACTCTTGTACTCACATGGAGTTGAGTAGAGGATGGTGAGGCACCCTCCTGGGTTTTTGCCTAGCATGACTAAATAAATGTTGATGCAATTTGCCAGCCTAAGAGATTCAGGAGAAGTAAGCTGAAGCAACACAATGATGATGGGCCTGAGTTGGATGTGCCCTGTGCCACGCCATTGGAACTGTCCGAAGCCACTGCACATGAGCTTGTCGTTCTCAGGGAAATTCCAGCTAAGAGAGGAGGAAGTTTCAAGAAGCAAGACTTGGTCAGTAACATCTTACTCTGCAGAGATAGAGAGCGAGCCTGAAAAGGGTCCACTGTATTTGGCAAACTTAAGATCAGTTGCTGGCCTAACCTGAGCAGTTTCAGAGGTGAAAGAGAAGCTGAGGCTGGACAATACTGGTTTGAAAAGTAGAGCCTCCTTTTTCCAGGTTGGCAGGGGAGGAGCGATGAGATAAGTATGGATAGATAGCCTGAGGCAGAACAAAGGGACTCAAAAAGGTTTTCTTCTGCAAGCCCTGCCCTCTCCTTGTTTGTGTTCCTCCTTCGTAAGTGGTCGGAGAAACCTGAGCCTGCTGAAGCTGATGGACAAATCTAGAGTTGAGGAAGAGCAGGTAACTTGCTGAAGGAGCTTTCTGTCCAAGGAGAGGGAAGGTGGAGGGCAGGTGAAGGAAGGATTTCCTTTCTCTGACGTTACAGTAGAGTAGGTGGGAATTCAGTGACTTCCCACACACTTCTTTTGTGTCAAGGGCCGGAAGTGAAGGACTATCATGCCACAAATATTTAATGAGTTCCTGCTTTGTGCAATTGGAGGTGTAAATTAAGTAGACAACAGAGAGTGAAGAAATCAAAACATGAACTAATCACTCAGAGTAAGGAATCAAACCAGAGGTGGCTTGGAAGGAGGGAGGGATGGCTAGGATTTCCGACATGATGAGAGGAAGGAAGAAGGAAGATGGTAGTGAAAATAACTGAAGTAGAAAAAGTCTAAGTGAGGAAAATGGCAGAAAGGAAAGAAAGCAATAGAAACAGCATGCTGGGTTCCAGACACTAAGCTAAATCACACACTTTGTAGATAATCCTCAAAACAGTTCTGTGAGAAAGGTATTATCATTTCCACTTTATTGATGTAGGAAATGAAGATGGAATTCTTGTTTTAATTCCACTTCTCTCAGTGGAATAAAATGCCTTGAAATTTGGAGGTTCTAATTCTTGGTTTTTATTTTATCTATAAAAGTAACCGTGCATTACAACATCACATAGGTTTCTGGTGTGCCTCAGTGAGAATCAACACATTTCTATGCCACATTTCCTCCACCTGGGTCACATGTTAGTTGAGTGTAAACAGTCTAAAGATTTCCAAGGCCTCTGCCCTCTGGTCTGGCAGGCAAATGAAGAGGTTATCTTCACAGGCTCCATCGTATATTGCAAAAATCTGCTTCTTGCCTTTCAACCTCCACTACAGATTGATAAAGAAGATTTAAACAGAGGGTTCCTGCACACTGTTTGATCTTGGCAATTTAGAGGCAGAAACCCCTCCTATCAAGAATAGTTAGGTTTTTGGTCCTCACAGAGTAAATCTGTTGGGTTGCTTCATGGGTTCCAATCTTCGCTTTGCTTATCTAATAAACTGTCTAAATATTCTGGAAGACTATTTCTGTCACAAGCAAGAGTGGCAAGAAATTGACCAATGGCTGGATCCATCATGTAGGACTTTGCCCAAGTGCCTATCTTCAACATCCTCAAAGGTACATAAATGATCATACACAGGACGCAGACTAGAAAATTAACTGACATTTGGTTTAACACATGCATTTCCCCTCATAACTTTCAAAAACAGAATAGGCTTCAAAAACGTAAAAACCAGTGTACAGGAATAATAATACGGTACCAGCAATCTCTTCCTTAAAAGTGTATTTAAAAAAATTATAAGTTTATTTTTACATATTTTTGTGCATTTTTCCATCTCAGTTGCAATCCCCTTGGGTTTCCCATCACCGAATCTAAAAGTGTATTTTCAAGAGGATGATGCATAATAGGGTTTTTGACAGGATGGGAGTGGGAAGGGAGGATTACAACAAACGTGCTATTTGTGATCAAAAGTGAATAGTAAAGCATCAAGCCTTCTTTTCGCATTTTAATAATATCCTTTTTCGGTAATTGGGCTCCACGGGTTGCCATGGGGACAATAAGAAACTTCTTTTTTTAAAAAGTAACACTGGGTAGCCCTAGATGAGCAAGGACTCAGACCCGGCCAGGAAGCACCCGTAATGACCCGCGCCCGGGGGCGTCGCTGCCTCAGGCGGGAAAGACCGCCGCGAAGGCGCGAGAGGCCGGGAGGGGGCGGTGGAGCGCAGCATCACGTGGCCGGGGCGG